TTTTTTAAAGGTGACTTTTGAGATACATTTAGTGCCACATATTACACATTTTGTGATTTCTCTTGGTGATGTTGTTGTTTAAATGGCTTCCAAGCATAGTGCTGACATGATGGCTAGTACTCCGAGGCACAGGAAGACTGTGATGTGCCTTAGGGAGGAAATACATTAGGTAAGCTTCCTCAGGTACAAGCACAAATTATCGTGCTGGGGCCTTAGTCAATGTTCATGGTTCAAAAATACATAGTAGGTGTTTTTATACAGAAATACATGGAAAACAAGCTTACGTATTGATCAGTTAATGAAAATGTGAGGAAAGGCTCATAGGAACCTAGGAACGATGAGCATTCGTTAAATCAATGTTGGTGACCACTAACTATGTAGAAGAAAATTACCTCAAACAATGAAAATTGACTGTTTCTTTTTATTTCAGACATAAAAATTCAAATTTTCTTTGCAGTTTTTTTGTCTTTATATTTCACTGAAAATATACAGAAAACTGTCCAAAAATCACTTTTCTCTGTGATGTTATGTTACCAATTTAATATACAGTTAGGTATATTGGTTTGGTTATGCTTTTAATGTTAAGTTTACTTTTTTCTTTTACTTTTTTTGAATATGTAAAACATCATGGTTGATAGTTAAAACTCTCACTACAAAGAAAGATCTCACTGTGATCTTTATCCCTTTCTGCCCTTTATGGTTAATCATATTTTTAGGGTCTAGTTTTAGTGTCAGAGGTTTTTTAAAATGCAAAAACAAGTATATGTGTACACACACACATTTCCCCTCCTTTACCATACTGTACTTTGCTTGTGTGTGTGTGTGTGTTTTTAAGTTAACCATATACCCCAGAGGTTACCGTACATCAGTACTTCAAAATTGTCCTTATATGTTATAAGGCTGTGTGCATTCCATGGTTTTATTCAACACACTGGAGCAAACCTTCTGAAATGTGGCAGATTAATAGTCCACTTGCTGGAATCAGATTGAGTTCAAATCCTGACTCCACTCTCTGAACCTTTCATTTTGAGTTAGCCATCTACCAACTTTGTGTTTGTGTTCTCAGCTATAAAATGATGCTGAAAAAGTGGCATACAACTCATTAGAGTTTATGAGCATACAGCAATCAATACATTTATAGCACCTGTGACAGTTTATGGCGCATAGGAAAGCCTCAACTTTTAAATAAAAAGTGGGCGGGTGGGAATGCATGATGGTGGTTTTTAGCTATTTCGAGTGAATGTCGGGGAAAACCAAGTGGCGCCCTGGCGTACTTCCAGGGCCTGTGTAAAGCAGGGAGCACGAGTCACACCGGACCCCGGGTCGGGGCGAGCCCGACGGAGTGCTGGCAGGCCGAGGGCAGCGCTGGGAGCGGCTCCAGGACGGATCGGCCAAGCAGACACGGAAGGCACTCTCCTTCCGTCGGGGCGACACAGGAGCTCGAGTCCTCGCCTCCTTCGGCCGGCACCGCTCGGGGCTGCAGCGCCAGGTACCGGGCGCCGCCGCGCTCTCCGCGCACGGAAACGAGGTGCAGGGAGTCCACCCGGGACTCGGGCCCGCGGCGGAGGCGGGGCGCACCCGGGAAGGGGCGGGGCCACGGGGCGGGGCGGGGCAGGGCGCGGCCACGAGGAGCGGGGTGCACCGGGAAGGGGCGGGGCGGGGCGCACCGGGGGCGGGGCCACGAGGGGCGGGGTGCACCGGGAAGGGGCGGGGCGGGGCAGGGCGGGGCAGGGCGGGGCCACGAGGAGCGGGGTGCACCGGGAAGGGGCGGGGCGGTGCGCACCGGGGGCGGGGCCACGAGGGGCGGGGTGCACCGGGAAGGGGCGGGGCGGGGCGGGGCGCACCGGGGGGCGGGGCCACGAGGGGCGGGGTGCACCGGGAAGGGGCGGGGCCGCGGCCGTGGCGCCAAAACGCGAACATGGCGCCGGAGCGGTTGCGGAGCCGGGCCCTCTCTGCCTTCAAGCTGCGCGGCTTGCTGCTCAGGGGGTGAGTGGGCCGCGCAGTGGGCAGGCCGGGAGGGGGGAGCCAGGGTCACACTGCGGCGCGGGGCCTCTGGACCCTCCAGGCAGCCGGAGGGGGCTCCACCTTAAATGACAGAGACCCTTCAAAAGTTCTAAGAAGCGGCCCCAGCCACCGTCTCAGTGGTTAGAGCGCCGGCCCGCGGCCTGAAGGGTTCGTCCCGGTTCGATTCCGGTCTCGGGCGCGCACCGCGGCGGCAGGCTCAGTCCCTGGGCGGCCGGGGGCGTGGGGAGGCAGCCGATCGATGCATCTGTCTCACCTGATGGACTCCTCTCTCCCCCCACCCCCTCCCTTCACTCTCCATAAAAATCAGTGGGGAACAGTAGCCCTGGGTGAGGATTAACAACTACAAGAAAGTCCTAAGAAACAAGTGCTTTTAGGCGGTCAGGTTGCGATGCCTTCGTAGGTCTCTCTGAGGTTGGCAGAGTCGAAGAGTTTCTCCCGGGTTCGAGGGTCCCCTCCTGCCGGTGCCGAGCAGGGGCGATCGGAGTCGCAGCAGCGGCTTGTTAGCACCGTGACTGCCACCACCAGCACCCCCTCAACCTACCCCCCACCCCCACCCCACCCCATCCCACCTTCACCTCCCCACCTCCGCACCCCTACCCCACCCCAAGTCTCCGCCTCTGCGGAGTGGGAATCCTGGCGGCGCTGGCGGGCGTCCCTGAGACAGCAATGAGAGACCGGGGCGCTCCTGTGCCCTCAGCAGCTGTCAACTGATATTGTTGCAGAAACTAGGCCCGGCCAGCATTCCCGATTCCGGACCATAGACAGTTCCTGAGCGTTAAACAGTGGGTAGGCTGCAAGCTGTGCCTGGGTCTCCTGGGTCTGTCTTTTTCTTTTTCTCTCCTCCTCTTTTCTCTCCTTTCTCTTCCTTCCTTCCTTCCTTCCTTCCTTCCTTCCTTCCTTCCTTCCTTCCTTCCTTCCTTCTTTCCTTCTTTCCTTTCCTTTCCTTTCCTTTCCTTTCCTTTCCTTCCTTTCCTTTCCTTCCTTCCTTCCCTTTCCCTTCCCTTTCCCCCTTCCCCTTTCCCCTTCCCCTTTCCCCTTCCCCTTCCCCCTTCCCCTTCCCCTTCCCCTTCCCCCTTCCCCCTTCCCCTTCCCCCTTCCCCTTCCCTCTTCCCCTTCCCCCTTCCCCTTCCCCCTTCCCCTTCCCTCTTCCCCTTCCCCCTTCCCCTTTCCCCCTCCCCCTTCCCCCTTCCCCTTCCCCCTTTCCCTTCCCCCTTCCCTTCCCTTCCCTTTTTCTCTGATAGGTTTCCTGGCCATATCAGTGTTTTCTAGGACCTACAGAACGAAGCTTTCCAAGATTTTCTTATCAAATCTGCTTTAAAAAGCAAGGAAGGAAGGAAGGGGAAAGAAAATACAGTGTTTACACATTTTAATACCTCCAGATGGGATATACTTTTCTGTACCAGGTTTTCATTACAACTTGTGTGTAAAGAGGTTTTTTTGTGTGTGTGGTTTTTTTTGTAAGGATACGTTTTATGGGACTTTTAATTTTGCCTTTGGCTTAGTGGTGAACAAGGGCAAGAGTCGATATGCTTTGGGAGAAAATAATGAATTGTTTTCCGTTGATTCCTGGCATTTTAAAAATATGATCAACTTTTCTTTCTTTTCATTTGGAATTTGAATAGTAAGCTATCATTCATTCAGTCAGAAATACACTGAAATCTATGAGCTGCAAAACACTGTGCTGGGGCAGGGGAGTAGGAGAGAGTAAGACTCTATGGTGCTTGGGGCAGATGGTATATTAGTTATTTATGCTGCATAACAAACTATCCCAAAACTTAGAAGCTTAAAACAGCACACACAGACTTTCTCACTTTCCCCTGGGCCGGTAATTTAAGCCGGCTTTACTGGGTCCTCAGCTTCAGGGCGCTCGAAAGGCTGTGGTCAAGTTGGGACTATCTCCCATGTCAGCTGGGTAGGATTCGCTTCCAAGCTCATTCAGTGCTTGGCAGTGTTCAGCTCCTGCAGGATGGCTGGACTGGGGGCCTCTGCCCTTGCTGGCTGTCAGTGGGAGGACGCCCTCAGTTCCTTGCCATTTGGGCCTCCCCAACACCACAGCTTGCTTCATCAAACCCAGCAAGAGAGAGTCTGCTCTCAAGATGGAAACAACAATCTTTTATAAACTAATCATGTGACATTCTTGTCTCAAAATATTACTTTTAAAATTACAATATCACTTGTGCTATATTCTATCACTTGTGCTATATACTGTGGTCAGAGGAAAGTCACTAAGTTCAGCCTCCAGTTAAAGGGAGGGGATTTCACATGGATGTGAATACCAGGAAGCATGGATTATTAGGGGGTCATCTTAGAAGTCTGGCTACCATGAATATTAAATAATTCACAATTATTTAACATCAATTGTGAAAAGTATCCAAAGAAAGATGTGTTGAAATAGCATGTAATCAGGTGTATAAATGGCTCTAGAGTCAAGGAAGGGCTTTATTGAAGAATTGGTTTGAGTGAGTGTTAAAGGATGAGCAGGACTTGACTAGGTGAAGAAATGAGTGGGAGGAAATGACCATCTAAGACTGTGCGGCACGAGAAGACCAGAAAAATCAGAGCCACTGGATGAGCCTAATGAGATTTGGCAGGGCCAGATCCTGTACAGTTTTATGGGCTTTGGTCTATCCTAAGAGCTGTCCCAAAATGTGTGTGATTTTAGGGACTCAACATCAAATATTTATGGGCCACCTTTAGTGTGCTTAGCACTCTGCCTAAGGATGATACAGTTTCAATTCTCAAGGAGTATCATCTATAATAAATATGAAACACTTACATATGAAACAATCAATAAGCAATTCAAGATATAGAACAATTAGTGTGACCAGTAAAACAATAGTATTGACATAAAGTATAAAGTTGTGTGCTACAAATACAGAATGGCATGTAATTAGCTAATTGTTTAAGTGCAAAGTGTTCATTCTGAGCACTATTGGTATTTAAATCAGAGATTCATTGAATATTTTTTTAATTTCAGCTTTATTGAGTTTTTTGTTGTTGTTGGAGAGATTCATGTAATTTAATATGAGTGTTGCTTAAGTAAGGCTGTTATGTTCAGAACACCGAAACAGATGAAGTCCTGCCTTGAGAGTATGGTAAGAAATTGTACAAAGCTAATGTAATGTATCAAATCTCAGGTAAATATAAGTGAGCATCTTAAAAATACAGATTTTTATTGATTTCAGAAAGGAGGGGAAAGGGAGAGAGAGATAGAAACATCAATGATGAGAATCATTGATCATCTGCCTCCTGCATATCCTCTACTGGGGATCCAGCCCGCAACCCAGACATGTGCCCTGACCAGGAATCGAACTTCGACCTCCTGGTTCATAGGTCGATGCTCAACCACTGAGCCATACTGCTGGGCATAGTAAGCTTTTTAACAATTTCAGAAGGAAGGGGAGATTGCAGCAGGTAGTGCTAATCTAGGAAGACTTCTATTTTTTAAAAAATATTTTTTATTATTATTGACTAGAGGCCCGGTGCACAAAATTCGTGCATGGGTGGGGGATCCCTCAGCCCGGCCTGCACCCTTTCCAATCCAGGGATTGGGCCTAAACCGGCAGCCGGACATGCCTTTAGCAATCCGGGACTGCTGGATCCTAACTGCTCGCCTGCCTGCCTGTCTGATAACCCCTAACCCCTCTGCCTGCCTGCCTGATTGCCCCTAACTACCTCTGCCTCGGCCCTGCACCCAGGACCCAGGATTCCCTCCTCCAACCAGCTGCGGGAACCCGGGACTGGTCTTCACTCCCTCTGCCCAGCCACAGGCACCCAGGCCTCGGGCCAGCTTCGCCCGGGCAGGCCACAGTCACAGGGGACTGTGGGTGGGAGGCTTCACCTGGGCCAGCCACAGGCGCCCGGTACTGTGGGGCGGGCAGCTTTTCTCTGTCTCATGGGCCACTAGCACTGGTGCCCAGGACTGCAGGGCGGGCAGCTTTTCTTTGTCTCCAGGGCCACAGGCGCTGATGCCTGGGACCAAGGGGCTGACAGCTTTTCTCCATCTCCCAGGCAGCAGGCTTTTCTCTGTCTCCTGGGCCTCAGCCGCAGGCGCTGGCACCCGGGACCACAGGCAGGTGGCTTTGCCTGGGCCCGGCTTTGTCAGGAAGGACGTCTGGAAGGTCGTCCAGAAGACTTCCAGTCTAATTAGCATACTACCCTTTTATTAGTATAGACTAGGGGCCTGGTGCATGAAATTCGTGCACTGGGGGTGGGGGGGTCCCTCAGCCCAGCTTGCCCCCTCTCACATACTGGGAGCCCTCAGGGAATGTCCTACTGACGGCTTAGGCCTGCTCCCTGCTCCCCTTGGGGAGCGGGCCTAAGCCGCAGTCTGGCCTCCCTTTGTGGGAGGTGACCAGGCTGATCAGGGGAAGGCACCAGCCCCATCACCCCGCTGCTGCAGCCACTGCCAGTCACTGCAGCCAGCAAGGTTTTTTCATCAACACAGACTCCAGTCCCTTCACCATGAAAAAATGACAACTTTCTTTAGGCATTTTCAAGATCTGTCTTTCATATAATAATTTCTTTATTATTTTTTTTTATCCTCACCTGAGGATATGCTTCCATTGATTTTTAGAGAATGTGGAAGAGAAAGGGAAAGACACAGGGAAACATCAAAGTGAGAGGGACACTTTGATTGGTTGCCTCCTGCATGAGCCCTGACCTGGGCCCCAACCAGGGAGAAGCCTGCAACCTAGGTACATGCCCTTGGTCAGAATTGACCCCAGACCCTGCCATCGGCAGGCCAAGGCATTATCCACTGAGCCAAACAGGCTAGGGCAGGATATGACATTTCTTACCCCTCCAGCAGCGGACCTTTGTTTTTTTTGCCAGGAGTGTGGTGAAAAACCCTAGATCATTTTTTTGGATTCTTATTACCCAAGTTACTAAGAATATTACCAGTGGCATCCAGGGAGCTTAGCCAATGAGCAGTCAGAAAAGGTGTTTCCTCTGTAGTTCACACCAATCGCTGGCTTGGCCCCCCCCCCCCCGGCCCAGGCCTGACGCCTCTGGCCCAGGCTTCAGGCCTGAGCAGGGGACCTCCATCTCCCCCAATCACCTGGCTTTTGGGTGGCTTCTGGGGCTTCTGGGGCTGGTCCGGATCAGATCCGATCACTGGTGGCAGGCAGGCAGCTTCTGGGGTTGCACACGGGGGCCTGGATGGCGGCTCTCGTGCTGGCAGCTACGCTGTCCTGCCCTGCCTGCAGTATGCAAATCAGCCGCCATCTTTGTTGGCGGTCAATTTGCATATTGTGCTGATTAGCCAATGAGAGGCATAGCGAAGGTATGGCCAATTACCATGTTTGTCTATTATTAGATAGGATTTTTAGAGAGAGAGGAAGGGAGAAGGATAGAGAGATAGAAACATCAATGAGAGAGGAACATCATCAATTGGCTGCCTCCTGCACACCCCCTACTGGGGATCAAGCCTGCGACCCAGGCTTATGCCCTGACCAGGAATCAAACTGCAACCTCTTGGTTTGTGGGTCAACGTTTAACTGCTGAGCAACACTGGCTGGGCTAGGAAGGCTTCTTAAAAGGAGGATGTGCCCTAACTGGTTTGGCTCAGTGGATAGAGCGTCGGCCTGCGGACTGAAGGGTCCCAGGTTCGATTCTGGTCAAGGGCATGTACCTGGGTTGCGGGAACATCCCCAGTAGGGGGCGTGCAAGAGGCACCTGAATCGATGTTTCTCTCTCATCGATGTTTCTAACTCTCTATTTCTCTTCCTCTCCCTTCCTCTCTGTAAAAAAATCAATAAAATATATTTTTTAAAAGGAGGATGTGATTTGGGACTTTAAGAACAGTTAGGCTGGGACTCTTTCCCCCTCCTCACGTGGGAGTCTGTGCTGTGAAATTCTTTCCCCTCCCCACATGGGAGTCTGTACTTGTTCTTCAATAAATTTCCACCTTTGCTATAAAAAAAAAAAAAAAAGAACGGTTGTGTTGACAGGGGATAGAAGGAATAATTTGTTTAGAAAGTGCAGGAAAGGTGGGTACTCCTGCAGAGAGTGTGTGGATCTTAATTTCAATGCCATTTTGATGAGCGTTTGCTATTTTGTCATAAAACTTTTAGCCTTAATTACCAATGACCTGCCTCATCTTTTCTTAACATCTCTTATCAGTGAAGCTATTAAGTACCTCACAGAAGCTCTTCAGTCTATCAGTGAAGTAGAGCTTGAAGATGCACTGGAAAAGATCATTGATGCAGTTGAAAAGCAACCCTGTAAGTAACATTCTGATAGCTCTTAAATTGTTAGTATACTTCTACATCTTTAACAGACTTGGAGATTTGAGTAGAAGTTGAGGATTCAGTATGAAGTGCTACCCCTGGTAGCACTTCTTCCCAAGGGGTAACTTCTAGTTCCTTTGGAACCTCAATACATTCCCCAGAGATTCTTTTACAGTTCTTCCCCCTCATAGAGCTGTCGCCTCCATATTTCTGCACTTAACTTCTGATTTTGATCTGATCCTTTAGGGTCACTTTTGTCTTGCTGCAGGCCTATAACTTTGTCTTACTTAAGTACCCCTAACTGTTGGGGGTGGAGGAAAAAAGTGAGCCTGGCTAACTCCCTCTTGCTTCAGCCTTTCTTCAGGGATCTTTTTGTTAAGTACTTAACTTTTTGCCACAAGTATAGGCCTACAAAGGGGAAGTGCTCTTCTAAAAAAAAAAAGTTCTCTGTTTCTGGAGCACTGAAGGAGAGAAGAGTATCTAACTTGCTCTCATATGGTGGGTAGATGTCAGTTTCTTAATTAAAAAGGAAGAAACATGTTCTATGCTATAGGAGAAATTACTGTATATCTCATTTTCACTTCTGAAGGTAGATTTAAAAAAAAATCTTATTTTATTTTTTCCATCCCTTCTATGCCCTCTTCAACCCTCTCCCCTCTTTCCCTATCCTCCCCCCCCCCCCCCCAATCACTACACTGTTGTCCATGTCCATGAGTTCTCCCTTTTTTTTTCCTTTTTTGGTCAATCCCTCTAACCCCACAGCACCTGACCACTACCACCACCAGAGCTGTCTCTTGCTCTCTATCTATAAGTCAATCTCCATTTTGCTTGATAGTTCACTTTGTTCATTAAATTCCACATATGATGAAATTATATGGTACTTGTCTTTCTCTGACTGGTGTATTTCACTTAGCATAATGTATTCCAGGTCCATCCATACTTTTGCAAAGGGTAACTTTTTTCCCCTTTTTATAGCAGAGTAGTATTCCATTGTGTAAATGTACCACAGCTTTTTTATCCATTCATCTACTTATGGACTCTTGGGCTGCTTCCAAATCTTGGCTATCCTATATAATAAAAGAGAAACATATAAATTGACTGTCCCTCTGCTACACTCACCAGCCAATCAGGAGTGAGTATGCAAATTAACCCGCCAAAGATGGCGGGTTAATTTGCATACACAGGCGCTGGGCGGAGAGCAGAGCGCGAGAGCCAGAAGCTTGGGGGGACATGGCTCCCTCGGTCACTCCCCCAAGCCACCAGGCAGAGAACAGAGTGGGAGAGCCGGCAGAGAGTGAAGCGGCGTGGGGAACTTGGCTCCTCAAGCCGCTAGATGGAGAGCAGAGAGGGAGAGCTGGCGCTTGGAGGACTTGGCAGAGTGGGAGGCTGTGGGACGGAGACAGAGCAGGAAGGGAAAACCAAGAGCGCAGGGAGCACCAGGAATTCTGGGAATAGTAGTCTGGTGGCAGCCCCAGGACCTGAAGTGGAAGCCCAGAGCGCGCAGAGCATTAGGAATGCTGGGAATCATAGTTCTGGTGGCAGATGGATCTAGACACTAGAGCAAAGTGAGCCTGGAGCACTGTTGCAGTTGGGGATGGAGGGAAAGCAAAGGTGAGAGACATAAGTAAAATCAGAATGTCTAGGAAAAATTAAAGGGAAGATATCCTAAAACTTCCAGGAAATCTCCACCAATGAAGCAAAGAAAAAAAAATGCCTCTATTATTCTGTGAGCAACAAACCAAACTGGGTTGGGGGTTTCAAACAATTCGCTCATATGATTCCAAATACAGACAGAAACTCCCGGATTGGAGAGGGCTCCCCTGAGGGCTCCCAGATTGCAGAGAGTGCAGGTCAGGCTGAGGAACCCACCCCCAGTGCATGAATCTTTGTGCACCAGGCCCCTAGTTGTAAATAACACTGCAATTCCCAGAAGTAGAATCACTGGGTTATAAGGCAGTTCCTTTTTTTTTTTTCTTCAGGTAACTCCATACTGCTTTCCACAGTGCGTGTACCAATCTGCATTCCCACCAACAGTGCACAAGGGTTCACTTTTCTCCACACCCTTGCCAACACTTGTTTGTTGACTTATTGATGACTAGAGGCCTGATGCACGAAATTCGTGCAAGAGTAGGCCTTCCTTCTCCCAGCTGCCGGCACTGGCTTCCCTCTGGCACCTGGGACTGGGCTTCCCTCTGGCCACCAGCAGGCACCCGGGACCCAGGCTTCCCTCATAGGCCCGGCTTCATCCAGAAGGTTGTCCAGAAGGACGTTCGGAAGGACATCTGGTCTAATTAGCATATTACGCTTTTATTATTATAGATAGCATTTCTGACAGTTGTGAGGTGGTATTTCATTGTGGTTTTAATTTGCATTTCTCTGATGATTAGTGACTTTGAGCATCTTTTCATGTCTATTGGTCACCTGTATGTCCTCTTTTGAGAAATGTCTATTCAGGTCTTTTGCCCATTGTAATTGAAATATGTGTGTGTGTGTGTGTGTGTGTGTTTGGTGTTGAGTTTTATAAGTTCTTTATACATTTTGGATATTAACCCCTTATCAGATGTATCATTGGAGAATATGTCCTCCCATACATTGGGTTGTTTTTTCATTTTGTTGATGGTTTCCTTTGCTGTGCAAAAACTCTTTAGTTTGATGTAGTCTATTTGTTTATTTTCTTGTTTATTTTTTCTTTTGTTTCCACTGCCCAAGGAGATATATCAGAAAAAATATTGCTATGAGAAATGTTTGAGATTTTACTGTAAAGGCAGAATTTTAAATATAATTTTGCTTTTAAAAATTTTTTACAGTTTGAAAATTCAGAAAATGGTTATATTTTAAAAATTTGTATTTGTAAAATTAAGATGGCACATGGTATTTTGCCTGAGAACATACCAAAGTGGTTAAGGACACCCATTGTAGAATCAGGCTTCGGTTTGTGATGCTGTTCTATTATACTGTTGGGCAGGTTGTTCAACCTCTCAAAGTTGCACTTTCCTCATCTGTAAGATATGGGCATATGGACATTAATCTCATAGAATATCTCTCTAATAGGAGAATGCTTATATTGTACTGAGCATAGTGCCAAACACACATCTTAATAAGTGGTAGCTATTATTGTTATTATCATGGCTACTAAAATATAGCACTTGTGATAAAAAGTTATACTAATATAAAGTTATTAAACCTAGGAGCTTACAATATTACTAAACAATATTTACAACAGTAAGACACAGTTAAGGTATTTAAATTATGGCTTTTGTTAATGTTCTGACCTAATACTTTTTTTCCTCCTAAAAACTGTGTAATGAGAACCTCTGCATTAGTGTCTGCAGATTATTTCTAGGAAAAAAGCTATCTGTGGGAAGAACTAATTTTTAAGCCTGTTTTTAAAACTTGACTTTGAAATTCTTTTTTCAGTGTCATCCAACATGATTGAACGATCTGTAGTGGAGGCAGCAGTCCAGGAATGCAGTCAGTCGGTAGATGAAACTATGTATGTGGAAAAAATGAACTTTTCCCCCATGTTGGAGGTGCTTTCTAAAAATTATTTTCTTGGGGAAATTAATTAGTGGTCAACAATTCTGTAGTGGTTATTTCCTAGTGTTTCCTTTAAAGTGATAGCCTACATTAAAACCTCATTATCAAATAACTCATCTTTTCTGTTTTTTCCTAGGATTTGAGGTAATTGTGTTGTTTCTATCATGACCACTTTTACCTCTTATCCAATGTTATATTCTGTAGGTTATGAATGAATTGAATTTAATATTCAAAAGTATAACTGACTTTTGCTCTCAGGAAAGTACTGAACCTAGAGAAGTTCAAAGACTTAACATGGGTCACATGGTGGATGGCAAATGAGGTAGAAACTCAGTTTTATGACTTTCCCCATCTCATGCTACTAGAGCTTAGGAATTTGCATGGCAGTCATTTTCCTGGGCTTTATTTCCCTGAGTGGCCCTCTTTCTTTCCTCCTTTTGAAAGTGATACTTCTTTGCAAATTCACAAAGTTTAACTGAGAGAAAAACATCTGGGTTTTAACTTTAACAATTTTTTTCTATTCGGGGCAATGAGATCATTGAAAGGACTCATTACTGTTATTTTGGTCAGTCGTTTTAGTTTCCTATCAGAACAAAGAGCTGCTAAAACAATAGAGAAATCGTGGAATTTTAACTTTATCCTTGGAAATTCATTATTTAAGGTACTAGAGTACAGTGATGAGCTCTTAAAGCCATCAATTAAAATTTTAAACGATCGTTTAGAAGTGTAAGGATGATAATCATAAAATAGGCATTAAAGTTACCAGTTATTTCTGTCTAGCTGTTTATATGCTCTAGTCAGCCAATGTAGAGGTCCAGTGGGGACTGAATGGTAAATAATCTTTGTAACTTCAATTGTCAGAAAGTCATAGTATAGCATGAGAGAGGCTCTCATTTCTCTAGATAGAGAAATGCCATAATGAGTTCAATAACTTGTCAAGATTGATCCACTAGAACATAGTGGAGCTGTGCTTGCATTCTAGGTTTTCCTCAAGTCCAGGATTCTCTGCTGCTCTATACTTAGTGCCACTACAGTAGCATGAACATTTTTTTTCTGTTTTCAATTTTGGAGATAAACAGCTATCATTTTAGGGAAGATTTTTTTTGTTGTTGGAATATTTATGCAATAGTGCTGTGACTTTTTTTTAAACCTCTTTCAAACATGTTTATGTTATTAACATAATATAAGTACCTGAAAGTAAAATTATTTTGTTCATTTTCCTTCTCTAACTGTAAGTCTCAAAGATGTGGCCAGAATTTGGGGGAGTTCTTTTTCTATTTTACATCTTTTTCTGGAATACTTTTGCATAATTTGGAATAAAAAATTATTGAAAATTAATCATATCCTTTAATAACATTGTAGCTCATAAAAGTAGTTCATATGGGAAAATTTTTTCAGATGTGACTATTTTATACATAAATGTTCTTTTTCAACATGTGACAGTCTTAATTAGAAGTTAATTAAATTTTTTTCTTTGCTTGAGAATATTGGCAGTGCTTTCTTGTGTTTAGAGAGGAAAACGTACAAGCTAACCTTTGACTCTGTATTTTTTGACAGTATAAGATATTGTGTATATGACCTGTAAAAAGTATATATGTATGTAAGATTATTATGCAAGTTTTCATGTCCATCTAAAATACTTACGTTTTAGTAAATCAGGTCTATGTTTTTGTGGGATGTTTTTTAGAGAACATATTTTCAATATCATAGGAGCATTTGATATTCCACGCTTTGTGTACAATTCAGAAAGAAAAAAATTTCTTCCGTAAGTATTCCATCCATTGACTTTAAACAATTTCCAAATGTACATTATTTTCAGAAGTCATGAGTAGGAATTCCTTTTTTTTTTTATAGTCTATTAATGACCAACCACCCTAAACCAAATTTATTTGGAACAGCAAGAGATAAAGCAGAGCTGTTTCGTGAACGCTACACCATTTTACACCAGGTAAGTTGGTGGGGAAAGACATTGTTTCAGCTTAGGTAAGACTTGAGGATAATAAAAAGATGGAATTTTGTAGTCTAAAGTTTGTCATTCATTACATTTATTGGTCTCCCTATGTTTGAGACCTTGTAAGAGACACAGAAATAAAAAAGATACTTTCCCCTTAGCAATCATGATGATGATAAAAATAGTAGCTAACATTTACTACATGTGTTGTTGTTTAATTGATTTCAGAGAGGAAAGGAGATGGGGAGAGAGATAGAAACATCAATGAGAGAAAAATCATTGATCGCTGCCTCCTGCACCTCCCCCTACTGGGGATCGAGCCTGCAACCCAGACATGTGCCCTTGACCAGAATCAAACCCGGGACCTTTCAGTCCACAGTCCGATGCTCTATCTGCTTAACCAAACCAGCTAGGGCTATTATATGTTTTTGATATGCTAGGCACTGTTTATCACTTTATAGACATTATTTACCTTATTTAATCATCATAATATCAATGTATAAATGCTATTATTCCCATTTTACAAATGAGGAAACTGAGATCTAGAGAAGTTTAGAAACTTGCCCAAATATGACATCTAGGAAGTAGAGACAAGGTTTTAATCCAGTTAGTCTAACTCTGGAGCCCAACCTTTGCCTGATATAGTCTAGTATATCAGCTTCAAGCAGCTTGTAGTCTATGAAGTTAAAGACATTTGCACAAATAAAATATAAAGTACAATTTTATACTTGCTATAAAGAGATACAAATAAAATGCATTCAATGGAAAAACCAGGGAAGGCTTCAAGGAAACTATGGCACTTGACATGGACATTGATTGTTTTGCTCTTGTGGCATTGGGGGAAAGGTAGTAGTGGTAACAGTGTGAACAGAGGCACAGCAAAAGGAAAAAATGGACTCTGTCCACTTTGTGTGGGGAGGAAGGCTCATGAAGAGGAGCATTATGGGATAACTTTGGAAAGGTACTTGGGAGCCAAATTGTGGGAGTGCCTTGGATGGCACTCGGGAGTTAGGACTCTGTTCTTTTGGTACAAGGAGCCTTGGAATACGAGAGAGAGAGAGAGAGAGAGAGAGAGAGAGAGAGAGAGAGAGAGACACTCTGACTCAATCTCAGCTTCCTTTACCAGCAGAGGGTGAGTTAGAGGGTGAGAGGAGACTCACAAGAGCTTGTGGGATTAGTCCTGGCATAAAAGATAGCCAGGATGAAGGAAATGGTGAGTGGAGTAGACAGAGGGGACAGCACTGGGGCAGTGAAAGCCATAGTTCATGATGACTGGTTGGATGTGAAGAAGGAAGGGAGTGAAGATTCAAAGATGGTTAAGGGTTTGAATCTGAGAGAGTAGGATGGTAGAATAATGGTAATATGTTAACAAATAGGAACAAGATAATGTTTGAAGAAGATGATGACATGTTCTGTTTTAAACATTTGAGTTAAGGTTATAGTAGGGTATCAGGTAAAAGTTATGTCTGAACTAAAGAAAGCATCTGGGTGGAGAGAGATAAAGGGTGCATCTGCTTGTAGTAATAGATGGACTATTTAGGTGTGAGATCCTGATAGGAAGAGGCAATAGAAAAGGAAAGAGGGTAGAATTTGGGGGCCATGCTAGGATGGTGTTATAAGGCAGAAGCACAAGGTTTTAAGGAGGAGAGAAATGGCAGCAGGCATAAGCAGTGAAAAATTGAAGAGAATGAGCACTGAAGATGTCTGTTCTCTCCTGCTTCCATCACCCACATAATGTTCCAGGTTGATCTTGAGATGGAACTCTGATCATATCATGACTTTGAACAGAATTCTTTCCAGGAAATCTACTGCCTATTGAATTAAATACAAATTATACTTAACTAGAGGCTTGGTGCAGGAAATTCGTGCATGGGGGGGGTGTATGTCCCTCAGCCCAGCCTGCACCCTCTGCAATCTGGAACTCCCCAACGGCCCTCCCCTGCCGGCCTGGTCGCCCCCAACAGTCCTCCCCTGCTGGCCATCTTGTGTGTTGGAGTGATGGTCAGTTTGCATATTACCTCTTTATTAGATAGGATACTTGAGATCTGTCACATGTTTTTGACCTAATCTCTACTTATCCTCTAATCATACTGTCCTAGAGCCAAAACTGAAGTTTGGAATTATTGTTTGTTTCTTCCTCTGTTCTGTGACTTTGCTTAGACTGTTCACTCCCTAGACAACTCTTCCTTCTTATCTCTGGTTGAAACCCTCCTACTTTGGGAAGGCTCTTCTCAAATTCCTCTTTTTTCCTGAGGCCCTTCTTGATCTCCAGTTTGTTGCAGTGGTTTAAATCTCTGTTTTAATCCTACCAGACCTGAGGCCCTAAACCTAAGTGTCCCCTATACCTGGGCTCCTGAGCATTAAAGAGAAAAAACCAACATGATATAGAAAAATGTTAGTTACATGCAAACAAGTGGTTAGAATAAGATGGAACTTGGAGACATTGTAGAAAATAGGTCTACCTTTCATCTACCTTTCATCTAGCACCAATATTCCACCTTTGTGTGGAAATTACCAAAAAATTGGTACAGCGGTCTGGTAGGGTTAAACCATTGGCTACTCAGTGTTTCCCTTCCATCACTTACTAGAGTTGGCCCCACCTTGCATTTGGGGTGCTTATCCCTGTCATCAAACTGTAGGCTCCTTGCTTGTTTTCTCTACCCCATCTGGCACAGTGCTTTTCACAGGGAAGATGCTTAGTAAATACGACGTTTCTCTTTTTTAAAAAAATTGTGTCTTAAAGCCTACTATATTCTTTTGGATGTGTCACTAACCCTTTGAGAATTTTTGTCCTCATCTATGAAATTAAAGCCTTACATTTTATTTTAGTCCATTCACATTTTCATCACAGTTGCCTTCCTGAAAGCCAACCTGATTTCATCATTATTCTACTTCAAAATCTTTGTTTTCCATTTTCTATAAGATAAGCTTTTTGGTTTGGCATACAAAGTCTGTATTGTCAGGACTCTTTTATTGGAGGCTACAGAAATGCCAATTGACTAAAACAGAAAGAGGAATTTATTGGCTTGTATTATGGAGAAGTCTAGGGCTCCACCTGTATCAAGCATGACTGGATCCAGGTGCTCATACAATATCATGAGACATCTACCTCTATCCACCTCCCCGCAATTTTTAAATTTGATTTTACTTTCTAACAAGTTCTACCTATAAGGTGACAGAGATGGCTACTAGTAACCTTAGCAATAATCTCTTTTTGGCCCAGCTTGAGGTCCTTGCTTAATCCTGAGACAATCAATGGTCAAAGAGATGGAGTACTTTGATTCATTAGGCCTTGGTGGCCTGTCTATAGAAAGGGGAAGGGGCACCAACTCTACCTAAACTACATGGACCGACACTGGGGGAAGGAGGGTTTTCCAAACAGAGGCTCCAACTAATCTCTTGCCTTGTCTGACATTCTGCCTCACGCATCTCAGGCTCTAACTGTACTAAACTTTGCAACAGTTCCTAAACACTCCTTTACTCTCATAACTCGTTCTTGTGACACACCCCTTCTTTTGCCTGGAGTGTCTTGTCTCAGCCTCCCTTTGATTCTTACTAGCAAAATCTTTTTTTTTTTTTTTTTTTTTTTTTGTCATTTAGGCTCTTGTTAAATGGCCCCTCTGCCAAGGGTCCTTTTTTGTGTTGTGACCTGTTGGCGGTACTTCTCTCTCACTAGCCCCATGCTCTGAGGATGACAACTTGGTTTGTTGTCTTCACATCCCTAGGCCAGAGTGTGCTGCTGCCAGGTATACAATAGACCTTTAAATTTTTTAAAAATAATTTTATTTCTAGGTTTCTATATTAAGTTATGTGGGTTTTCAAATTTGTTGAAAATAGATAACAAACATTAACTTAAGGACAGTGTTTTGTCAGAGCACTATTTTAATGAGTCTTCATTTTAAATGTATGCCTCAGTAATTCACGTGAATCTTCTTTTTTATAGAGAACCCACAGACATGAATTATTTACTCCTCCAGTGATAGGTTCTCACCCTGATGAAAGCGGAAGCAAATTCCAGGTTAGAACATTATTCTAGTTATTTAGGGGGTGTAAGTATACAAATTTAATATTTACTGCTTATTATAATTTACTGAAATTTTAATGAAAATTAACCACTAGTAACTGTTTGACTAGCTAACTGACCTGTGCATGCCCACTGTTGATAAAGTCCTTGAGTCCTGCAAATCTCTATTAAAAGCATTGACTTCCTTCTTTGAAGCAGGCCCTGGGATTGTGTAGCCCCCAGAGTGTCTCTGGCACCAAGACGGACCCCTAGTCCTCCCAGTCCATTTGCTGTACACTACACTGGCTCTGTCCAACTCAGCATTTCCCTTTGCCTTCACTCATACTCCAAAATACTGGTCCTTGCCCAGCCCAGCCCTCTAGTGATCACCACACTTGTTCAACTAAAATATACTATATTAGTTGGAATGAAAACTTTATATGGCACTAAAGAACAACATCTACAGAATGAAGGAGACGTCACAGACAGGCCACAGGGCTGTTGGGATCCGAGGAGCAGAGGTAAAAGGGAGAGTTTCCTTCATGTGTGCTCCTTCCACTTTTATACCTTGGAAAGCGATTACCAACCAGCACTCTCGCTTTGTTCCAGCAGCACAGTCACTGTCAGCCTGTCGGTGGCTCTCTTTCTCTCTCCAGCACGCAGAACCCTGCAGTGGGGATGATTCCTTAGCTACTTGTGTCTGGGCCCTACCATTTCTGCAAGGTTCCAAATAGGTTCTGAAGAGGCCTGGCCTCTTTTAAGATTCCTCAAATTCTCTGCCAAGTTAGATGAGAAACCATGATGATGAGTAGTCTCATAGATACTAAAACCATAATACTAGAGAATGCTCAAATTAATGCTTGATGGCAGCACCGTAGGACAAGACATTTATAGTATTTGATAGTTTCTGCTTTTAACTTTTATTAAGAGAAAAATATATAGTATGTTTTTGGAAATTTATATTATGTATATTTCTCAAATATAAATATATATGAGAATAAATATATTTATATTGTATAAATATACATATATATTTATGGTCTCCTATGGCAACTTTGATACCCACAGTCTGGAAGCAATATTTCTCCTCTCCACCTAAATAATTAATTTAAGGCTTAGCTAAGTAATTTATTTTTCTTTTCAGTCTTTCCAAGCTATTTAATTTTGTATCCTTGGTGGTAAGTTCCCTATTTGAACTACCACTTATAATACCTATTTGGTGGTCTCCCTTTAGAGACTGCAAAATGGTGTCCTCAGGAATCCTTGCAGCTTTGTATCCCTGTGTTGGTTATTTGCTTGATCAATTGATTGAGTGATTGATTTATTTTATGTGAATTGCAATGTTTTTCCCAGTTTTTAAAATTTATTTTTATTTTCTTAACTGTCTTTTTGAAGAACCTAAGTCCTTAATTTTGTTGAAGTCCAACTAACAATTTTTTTTTATTGGATATTTTTGGTGTTGTGTCTAAGAAATTTTTACCTAATCCAGTTTTTAGGTTACAGGTCTGATACACTTTTATTTATTTTATATATATTTCTTTAGATTTATCTCTAAGTATTTCAATTTTTTAAAACTATTTTAAATGTACATTATACTCCTGTGTTGCTTTAGGTTCATGTTTTTTTAAGAACTCCAATTGTTGTTCCACTTATTAATGCCTTCATTGGTTGATTCCTGTATGTGCCCTAACTGGGGATTGAGCCCACAACCTTGACATATCAAGATGATACTCTAACCAACTAAGCTACACAGCCAGGGCAAAGATTAGTTTCTTAAAAGAATATATTTTCAATCTTTAAGAATTTATTTTGTTTTATTTTAGCTTAAAACAATAGAAACCCTATTGGGCAATACAACCAAAATTGGAGATGTAATTGTTCTTGGAATGATAACACAGCTAAAAGAGGTAAGTGAAACTTAATAAGCATCATACTTTTATGTGCACCCTTCAGATTAATGAAATGTCAGTTACATATAGCATCTCTACAGGAGCATAGTCTTTTTAAAGACTTTTTATTGTTTTTAGAGAGGAAGGGAGAGGGAGAGAGAGATAGAAACATTAATAATGAGAGAGAATCATTGATCGGCTGCCTCCTGCACACCCCACACTGGGGATCGAGCCCACAACCTGGGCATGTGCCATGACTGGGAATCGAACCATCACCTTCTGGTTCATGGGTCAACACTCAACCACTGAGCCACACCTGCTGGGCAGGAGCACAGTCTTCATTGATGGTTCATTCCTCAGTTACCAAGTAGCCTTTTCATCTGTATTTGGTTTCCTGGGAGACATCTGGAAGGAGTGTCTTCTATAGGCTACCAGGTTGCATAGTCTGCAGTTAGTCTCCCAGTGACCTCTGGTTGCACTGAGAGTACTGAGTTTCTGAACAAACAAAGCTGCAGACCATATCCTGGTCCCTTGGAGACACTGTTGACTCTCTTACGTGAAGGCACCAGGTGAGGGCCAATGGCAGCCAGCAAGTGTCCTCTTGCCATCTCTTGATCTTCAGTGGTCATTCTTTGAGTATCTAGGAGTCTGAGTGTTAATTAAGTGGTTTATCTGATGTCACCAGATTAGTAAATGGAAAAGCGTAGACTAGGAATTGTTGATTTTTTAAAAATATATTTTTATTGATTTCAGAGAGGAAGGGGGAGGGAGGGAGAGAGAGAAATATCAATGATGAGAGAGAATCATTGATCAGCTGCCTCCTGCACACCCCCTTACTGGGGATCGAGCCCGCAACCCAGGCATGTGCCCTTGACCGAAATCGAACCCGGGACCCTTCAGTCTGCAGGCCGACGCTCTAGCCACTGAGCCAAACCAGCTAAGGCAGGAATTGTTGATTTTTTAAGTATACTATACTCTCTACTATATTCTGTTGTCAAAATTGTCAGTCTTTCAATTATTTTATTATTGTATTCATTTTTATATAATTGTGGACATATGTCTTTTAATTTGTTTTTAGGGAAAATTTTTTCTGGAAGATCCGACGGGCACAGTACAACTGGATCTTAGTAAAGCTATATCCTTCACTTTTATTTTCTTAAACCTATATCCTTCTCTTTTATTTTTTTAAATCTTCAAGTTAGGGAAATTAATTATATATCATTCCCAAATTTAGCTATTTGGTTTCCTGGTGTAACTTTCATATGGTGGTGGTATAGGAATTTACTGTAGAAACACAATCCTAAATCAAGACAAAAAAAACTACTTCCCTCTTATCTGGAGAGTCCAGACAAAACACTGAGGGAGTTTATAACATGCCAAGAATGATTTATACTGTCAATATTACCGGGCTACGTCCTAGAATCAGATATAGGTACATTTCAAACTAAAATTTTTTAAGGTGTGATCTAGCCATAGTTTCAAATGTGAAGTCTTTAATTATTATTTAGAAGTCCTGTCAGGCCCAAAATGTGTGTTGACTATCACGACCTCAAGCATAGAAATAAAATTATTTTCCTCAACTGTGTGTACCAGTTCCATAGTGGTTTATACACAGAGTCATGCTTTGTCTTAGCAGAAGGTAAGTCAGTATTCATCATTCTACAGTAAAACCATTTCTACATTGTTTAAAATACGTTAACATGGTATAATTTGGGAGAATAGCAATTATAAAAGCGTACTTTTAACAACCTAAAATGACTCTCAGTCTGCTAATTGGCACGGGTTTCTTTTTGGGTTGATAAAAGCAGTCTGAAATCAGTGGTGATGGTTATACAACTTGTGAATATACTAAAATTTTTACTTTATATACTTTTAAAGGTGGATTGTATGATATGTGAACTATATCAATAAAGCTGAAAAAAAACAGATTTTACATAGGGTCATAAGATAAAAAGATTTCCTAATCAGGGTACCTTATCTCTCTTTGACACATGCATTCTGAGTAAAATGAAAAGTTTCAATTCTGAATCTATTTCTATTTCATGAGGGTTTTTTGTTTGTTTTAATAGAACTGAGACTGTCTCTGGATCTGAAGTTGTTTTCTAGCTCAGTGGGACTGGCAACTTCTGTAGTTAGTTGACAAGGGATGAGATGACAGCCTAGTATTACTGCTTTGTGTTCTATAGTTTTTCCTTTCAAACAAGAAGGAGAATTGGACAAATGAAAGTGATTTTTGACTTATGTTTTTTCAGGTTGGTTTGAAGATCAAGTGTTTCATGTCAATGCCTTTGGATTTCCACCCACTGAGCCGTCTAGCACTACTAGGTATAAACATGTTTGACTTAAACACTTAGGAATTTTGTAATGCTGACAGTAATGAATGTTAGATAGTATATCATCTCTCGGTTATTACAAGGCCTCAGGCTTTGTGTCAGAACTCAAAAAGCAATGGAAAATTAGAGTTAGAAGACTGGGTAGTATATGTAACTGAAAACTAGTGGATTGACTCCAGATCAGTTGCAAAAACATTTCCATACTTGTCTTTAACTGGAAAAGATTTCCAGTTGAACTGTCTTACCTGTCTGTAGGGTAGATGAGAAGTTCAACTGAGATAAGAGATAGGAAAAACACTTAGGAGAATATAATTGCCATCCTATGTAATAAAATCCCAGCAACCATAACAGCAGAACGACTGCTCAATCAGTCACTATGAGGTGCACTGACCACCTCTTGGTTCCTTTCCCTGGCCGGCAGGCTCCGATTGCCAATGACAAATGGGGACCCGGAGTGGGTGGCGGGGGATGTGGGCAGTGCCAGGCCAAGACCCCCACCCTGCCTATCACGCCACACACAGAGGGCGACCGGCGGCAGTGGGGGTGGGGCCGGTGATCAGCTGACCTCTTGGTCCCTCCCCCAGGGCCTTCAGGCTCCCACCACTGGGTGTGAAATGGGTGGGTGGCTGCAGAGGGCAGGGCCAGCTGCCAGCAGCCTGGGAAGATGGCCCTGATCACAGGCTGGGCCTAGGGACCGTACCCATACACGATTTTGTGCGCCGGGCCTCTAGTGATAATATAAATTTCTTGTGTTTATATTCTATTGAGTGAAAGTTACAAGAGGCAGCTTCTGTAGCTCTTTAATATAAGTGAAAGCACCATAATATTAGAGTTATTCCAAAAGGGCCTTCTCTGAGAGGAGTGAGTTCCTATCATTTGAGCTATTTGAGCAGAAGCTGACTGATGGTATAAAAGTATAGCTGGTGGGCTGTGGGTTGAATGTTGTCTACAGACCTTTCTTTCCCCTTTGAGATGTTAAAACACATTTTGATTTAGTTCCAGTGTTTAAAAATAGGAGATTTCTCATAAAAGTCTAGATTTCTGAGTTCTCTTGAACCATCAGATCTGAGAACATGGTGCCTGAATTCTCACCTAGCAACCCTACTGCAGGTAATATGTGTGCACCCTAGCTCATTCCTAGTCAGCCTCAGCTGGTGGCTACTTCGATATCTGTGTTTCCTCCTTGAAGCCTTGCCAGCATTTGAGTTTGCTACCTCTGGGGGAATTAAAGTTGTATTCTAACTTTAGAATGTATTGTAATGGTAAAGATTTAAAGGAGTGTCCGGATTAAGATTTTAGTTCTACATACCTGTATCAATCCAGGTGCAGAGGCCATGTCTCCTGGCTGGGAGTCCTGGCAGGCAGCCTTTGCAGTGCAGCCCCTCTTCCTTTGAAGTAATTTGGGGATAATGCTGGTCACACTAAGGAGAACACAAGCCCTCATCAAGCCAGCTCTCTTTTAAGTGAATGTTTTTAATGCTAGTTTGTGGCTTTTTACAACCTGGTAGGGTTTCCTTGAAATACATTTCAATCAAAATTGCTGTTTTAGTTTCATACAAGCTTCAAAATTACTACTTGAGAATGAGAAGTATAATTAAGGAAGCTGGCATGACTATTACCATTTGTTTCAATTTAGCAAAGAGATTATCATTGTAATGTCTCAAATAATATTCCATTTAAATTATGCCATTTTTTTCTAAATTGAACTGTTCTCTGTGTTTAGTACACCAAAGACTAGTATGAGTTGTCATAAAGTACATTAAAATGAAATAATCATTTTATTCCTGTTAGGATTATAAATTACTTTTCTCTTTAAACACCTTCCAAATAAAACTCTGGTGGTAGTCAGTGGATTCAGCAACAGATATTTTATTAAATATTTTTTTATGTGCAAATAAGCACAAATAATGGTCCTGTCCCAAAAGGATTTATACTAACCTAATGCCTTCCCACCATTGCACAGTATATCATATAGGTTTGTTATCCTAGAATTTCTAGACTACTTCTTTCTTTTCAAATTTGACAAATTAGGATAATATGTATTGTCAGGCCTTCCTCTTGATCCTGTACTTGCACCTTATATTTCATGAACCATGGACAGATGATGTTAGTAAGTCTTGCCTGAGCTTTAATTTCTGAAGAATCAATTTAATAGGTATTTCTTTCTGTGATGCTCTGGCTTATGCTTGGGTATATATTAAATCGAAGTCAGCATACAATTGTATCAACTTATTGCATTCCTCTGATAACTGCTAGATTATAAATGTAAGGTCATACCTTTGAAAATGCCAAGTATAATTGGTGGCAACAGTAACAGCTACCATGTCTGAGTGCTCACAGTGTACTAAGGGCTAGTTCTAGTATACCTCCAAATTTTCACAATTCTGGAATGTAGGCTAGCCTTTGTAGATATTCTTACCCCTTAGGACAAATTAGAAGTAAAATTGTTTGGTCAAATAGTACTCTTTTTGAGCACTTTGATTAGATATTGTTCAAATTGAGTACCCATTTCTCTTTCAACTACATGGGAAATTATGATTTATTTTAGTATTTGCTTTAGTTTTAAAAGGCACAGATATAGCCTATTATGACTTTTATTTACTGCTTCTGTATTGCTTCTTTTCTCATTTTAGAACATTTAAGTAAACTTGTTTGCTACAAATAATACATTTTCATGGTACTATATACATTGATGGGAGGAAAAACCTCATTAGATAGAAAGAAGTTTAATTTGTAAAATTATAAAAATACCAGAGGCCCAGTGCACAAAATTTAGTGTACTGGGGGGAGTCCCTCAGCCCAGCCTGCGCCCTCTGCAAGAGGGACCCCTCGCTCCTTACTGCCTGCCTGCAGCGGAGGCAGGAGAGGCTCCCACCACCGCCACAGCACTCACCAGCTGTGAGCCCAGCTTCTGGCTGAGCGGAGCTCCCCCTGTGGGAGCACACTGACCACCAGGGGCAGCTCCTGCATTGAGCTTCTGCCCCCTTGGTGGTCAGTGCGCATCATAGCAGCCAGTCCTTTCACCATTCAGTCGATTTGCATATTAGCGTTTTATTATATAGGATCTCCCAGAGATTATTGAAGATAATAATTATGTTATAATTACCTAGGGCATACTATGGAAATATTAATTTTTTTGGAGGGCCTTCTAATACATCTGTAAAGACTTCTGCAAAACTAAAACAACTAGAAGATGAGAATAAAGATGCCATGTTTGTGTTTATATCTGATGTTTGGTTAGACCAAGCAGAGGTGTTGGAAAAACTTCACACCATGTTTTCTGGTAGGTTTCATTTTTTTTATTATTATTATTCTTTTTTGAACTGTTACCAGGGGTCACGTTTTAAAACTAAATTCTTAAAAAACACATTAAGTAGTTTATTTTTTTAAAAAAAACACGTTGAGTCAGCAGTGAGATATTTTAAGTGGGTTCATCTTAAAGGCTCACATTTTTACATTTGAAAAATAACTGTATGTGTGTGTGTATTCATGGTACATAAGAATTAGTCCTAAATATAGTATAAGAGTGAACAAGAGCTTGGATTTGGGGTCTGACATAAATTTCAGCCTAATACCTTGGGCAGATTACTTAATTTCTGTTCAGCTTCTAGAGATGTCAGGAGGATTAATCAACCCATTGAAGGGCCTGGCATAAGTGCTCAATGGACCTACTATTACTATTACTTTTAAATAAGTTATTAAAATATTGTTTTTATTATTAACAACCCATGGCTAAAGGCTTTTAAACCTGATTTCTAGATTAGAAAAATAATGATATTTATTCTCATATTTTTAGGTTATTCACCTGCACCTCCAACCTGCTTTATTCTGTGTGGCAATTTTTCATCTGCACCATATGGAAAAAACCAAGTTCAAGCTTTGAAAGGTATTAAGGGTCTATTGAATAAATGTTTCTATATTTATATAAACTAACAAGAAATTATCTATATTTTAATTTTATTCAAAGGATACAGGGTTCTAACTAATGAAACAATTTGATTCTTATGTGCATTATGTATAAATTAAATTTAATATCCCTTTAAAATTTTAGATTCCCTAAAAACTTTGGCAGACATAATATGCGAATATCCCAGTATTCACCAAAGGTAATGATTTCTACTGCTATATATATATATATGTATATATATATATTTTAAATATATTTTATTGATTTTAGACAGGAAGGGAGAGGAAGATAGAAACATCAATGATGAGAGAGAATCATTGATTGGCTGCCTCCTGCACACCCCCTTCTGGGGATTGAGCCTGCAACCCAGGCATGTGCCTTTGGCCGAAATCGAACCTGGGACCCTTCAGTCCGCATGCTGACGCTCTATCCATTGAGCCAAGCCAACTAGGGCAGCTATATTTTTTATTTAAACAATTTTATTTTTTTAAAAATGAATCTTGCCGAAACCGATTTGGCTCAGTGGATAGAGCGTTGGCCTGCGGACTGAAAGGTCCCAGGTTCGATTCCGGTCAAAGGCATGTACCTGGGTTGCGGGCATATCCCCAGTAGGAGATGTGCAGGAGGCAGCTGATCGATGTTTCTCTCTCATCGATGTTTCTAACTCTCTATCTCTCTCCCTTCCTCTCTGTAAAAAAATCAATAAAATATATTAAAAAAAAATGAATCTTGTTTGATATCAGTGATTATTAAGAACTGAATAGAAGAAAAAGTTGAGGAAATTAATACAGCTAAGAGATAAATTATTCTCACATCATGATAATGTGTGTTACACTATACTAGAGACTTGTAGTTCAAAGTATTAAAAGTGTGAGTGACAATTTCAACCATATTTTGAATTTCTTGGTGATATTACTCTAAGTCAGGGGTGAGGAACTTCTGTCCCAGAAGCCATATCATTTGGTCTGGCCCTGCCAAGGCAACCACAGGTGGGTCTTGAAATTCAATAAATCTAGGAGCTTTTTTCATAGCAACATAATTTTTCAGCTGATAATTTTGTATGGTTCTTGAATGATGTTATAAATATCCAAATGGCCCTTGGTAGAAAAAAGGTCCCCCACCCCTGCCCTAAGTATAGAGCTTCATTCTTTTTTTTTTTTTTTTTTTTTTTTGTTAGAGCTTCATTCTTCAATAGGATAGTCACTGGCCACATGTGTCTCTTTAAATTAAATTATTTAAAGTTAAATAAAATCTAAAATTTAGTTGCACTAGCCACAGGTCACACACTCAGTTATTGGACAGTGCAGCTATGTCATTGCAAAAGGTCTACTGGTAGTGTTGGTCTGGAGACTCAGTAGTTCATTTATTAAAATCCATGTAATTTAAAAATCTCTTAAATTTATTACTTAATTAAAGGCAATAATTTGTTTTTAGAAACTTGGATTGGTTTGCAATTTTTTAAAATGAATTATGTTGAATTTTGCTACAGTAGTCGTTTTGTGTTTGTACCTGGTCCAGAGGATCCTGGATTTGGTTCCATCTTACCAAGGTAAGTTTTATTCAGATTTCGTGACAGTAAAGAAAATTTTATAAAGTTTAAAAATATACACTGTTTCACATAAATTGTTTTTATAGGCCACCACTTGCTGAAAGCATTACTAATGAATTCAGGCAAAGAGTGCCATTTTCGGTTTTTACTACTAATCCTTGCAGGTAAATATTAAAATTTTGTGGGTTTTTTTTTCCTTTCATATAAAAATTCTTATAACGTGTATCTGAAGTGTGACTATTATGAGATAAATATAAAATTTCACTTTATGTTTCTCAAAACTTTGAAAATATTTTAACTATATTTAAATAATTCACTAATAATGAATTTAGAAGTTTGATTAATGGAGTTTTTTAAAAAATATTTTTTTGTTGATTTCAGAGAGGAAGGGGAAGGGAAAGAGAGATAGAAACATCAATGATGAGAGAGAATCATTGATCAGCTGCCTCAAGCCTACATGTCCCTAACTGGGAATCAAATTGTGACCTCCTGGTTCATAGGTCGATACTCAACCACTGAGTCACCTCAGCCTGGCAACTAATGGAGATTTTAAAATAGATATTCTCATTACATACACATCCTTTTAAAAAAGTGACAATGGCCCTGACCGGTTTGGCTCAGTGGATAGAGCGTTGGCCTGCAGACTCAAGGGTCCCAGGTTCGATTCCGGTCAAGGGCATGTACCTCGATTGCAGGCACATCCCCAGTGGGGGGTGTGCAGGAGGCAGCTGATCGATCTCTCTCATCGATGTTTCTAACTCTGTCCCTCTCCCTTCCTCTCTGTAAAAAATCAATAAAATATATTTTAAAAAAAAAAGTGACAATGGAAGAATGAAAAGATTACAAGTTTACTATTTATGCCACTTACTGTGATCATGGGCTCTTCTGAGGGCATACCCTCAGTCCTTGGTTCTCCTCTTTTCTGCCCACAGTCACTCCTGCTGTGACCTTATCCATCCCCATGGCTTTAAATACCTATGTTTTGACAACTCCCACATTTATATATCCAGCTCTAACCTCCCAACTCCAGCCTCACATGTGCGGTTGCCTACTCATCATTTTCCCTTGTATGGCTAGTAACTGCGGACTGAACCTCTGATCTTCCTCCTCCTTATCAGGCCCCAGCCTGTTCTGTAGCCTTCCTCACCAGAGGCCATGGGACCTTTATCCTTTCAGTTGCTCAGGCCCAAAACTTTGGGTTTCTCTCACATGCAGTTTTACAGGTGGTCCTTCAACCTTTTTAAGGAAGGCTTCAAAATATACCCAGTATTGGCTGCCTCTCTACAGCTTCATGCTTGTGACCCTCTGTCATCTGCTAGCCTGGGTTACTGTAATAGCCTTCTGGTTGGTCTCTAGCTTCTACCCCTACCCTTCTGTAGTCTATTCTTAACACTATGTCAGAGGATCCTTAAAAATGTAAGGCCCCTTACTGATCCTAAAAGATGGGACCCCTCATGTCATACAGTAATAGCCAATATCCTTGCAATGGTAGTCAGGCCCTGTATGATATGCCTCTGATTTCCTCTCCTACTTTTCTCCTCATCTATTCTGGTCATTACAGCTTTTTTTTTTTTCTGTTCATCAGATGTGCCAAGCATGCTACATCTTAGAGCATCTGCTATTTTTATTTTATAATACCTGTTCCCTCTACCTGCAATGTTCTTCCTCTATCTGCCTCTCTCACTTCTTCAAGTCTGTGCTCAAATCAAACTGCATTATGAGCCTACCTGTTCTGATCCTCCTCCTTCATACTCCAGCCTTCAAGACCTTTCTCCCCACAAATGTCCCACTTGACCTTTTTCTTTTTCCCATGCACGTAATCATCTTCCAACATACTGTATAATTATGTTTATTGTTTTTTTCTCTGATCACCCTCTTCTCATTAGAATGTAAACTCCATGAGGACTGGGATCCTTTTGTTTTGTTCACTCATTCCTAGAATAGTTCAGTACACATATTAAGAGCTCAATAAATTACTGTCCAATGAATGGACGAATAGATAAATTCTGATTGAATTTTTGCTGTGGTAAACAATGGAAAGTGGGAATGATTTTGTATTATAAAACCATTTGCCTTTTAAATTACCTCATATTTTTTTCTGATGAAGTCAAATTCAACTACTATTTTTATTTCAGAATTCAGTATTGTACACAAGAAATTATTGTCTTTCGTGAAGACTTAGTGAATAAAATGTGCAGAAACTGTGTCCGTTTTCCTAGTAGCAATTTGGATATTCCTAATCATGTAAGTTCACAGTCTTCTTTATAAAACTATTACATGTTGCGTCACATAAAATTTTGTTAAGCCACTTGATAATTTACCCTCTAATGTTTATATAAATTATGGTTATAATCTGAACATACTTTTGTAAGTTAATATTTGTTAGTAATCAGTGTTTCTCAACTTTCTCACTGAAATATCCCCTAATGGGTGGAGGAAAACCCAGAAGCAGCAGGAAATTTCACTGAAGCTTCCTTGTTTTGTCCTAAAACTCATAAATCTTACATTGTACTTCAAAATATATGTGTATGTTTTAATAAAATGTTCATGTTTACTAAATATTTCCTGTGATATGACAGGATGTGTAGTGCTTATCTTGTAGCTTCAAGGTTCCATGATACATGTACCCCCTTTTCAGAAGTTATGAAAAGAGATCATATAGAGCATTTTCTATATTTATTTTATAATAGCTAAAGCTTATATAGGCTAAATATCTATTTTTGGCATTGCTCAAGCTATGAATTATTTTTAGTTGAACAGAATTACTAAATGGGTTTATTATACAGTATACTAGTAAGTACAGTTGCTCCAATTTGACCATTGGGGGATTGGATTTTACAGTGAATTATATTAAATGAAAACTCAAAAATTTTTCCTAAACTACAGGATAGTCAATCTCATTTCATCTCTGTGTTTCCCACAGCTCCATAATTCAGAGTTCTAATTGTTTCTCAAATTTTCTAATTCTTTTGGGTAATTAATTTGAAATTGTTAGTTGTTTTAACTTTTACAAATGAATTAAAGTTTGTTTTGTATCATTCTTTTTAGTTTGTGAAGACTATCTTATCCCAAGGACACCTGACTCCTCTACCCCTCTATGTCTGCCCAGTATACTGGGCATATGACTATGCTTTGAGAGTGTACCCTTTGCCTGATCTACTTGTCATCGCAGACAAATATGATCCTTTCACTTTGACCAATACTGAATGCCTCTGCATAAACCCAGTAAGAATGTAGTTAACATTATATAGTCATAGTTTGTCAAGATTAGAGTGTTATTTCTTTTTTTTTCTTTTTTCGTTCAATCAGAGTATTATTTCTTTAAATTTAAAATGTGTATTTAAAAATATTACTGTTAGAGTAAAAATATAGATGAGACACTGAATTAGTTTGGTATATACTGAAAGTTCTTAAACCTTCAGTGTGGCATGTGACTATAATGTGATTTTTTCTAAAAAATATACATACACCCAAGCTTATAAATCCAAATGAATATTTTCCCTTCAAAGTAACTTACCTTGGGATTCCTTTCAGGGAATTGCTTTCAAAGCCTGTATCCATTCTCTTTAAACATATAAATGGTACTTATCCTTTGAGGAAGATTTTGATTTTTAGAAGTTGCCCAAGTCCTCAAAATCTAAACCTGATAAATGTGGAAATTCTTATTGAGACACAGTTTATTACTTCGTTTTTTTATGCAGAACCTTGAAATTGCTTCAGAATCTTGAAGTTGCTTCAGAATTTTGAAGTTGCTTCAGAATTTCTGCAGAAGTATGATTGACTTTAAATTTAGGGAATACAGACTGCATAAACATTGTGGTTGATGTCAAAATGTCTCCACTAGAGGCTTTATGCTCTGTATGCTTTCTTAATTCTGGTGAATTTTATATCTTAATACAGTGGTTCTCAACCTTCCTAATGCCGCGACCCTCTAATACAGTTCCTCATATTGTGGTGACCCCCAATTTCATTGTTACAAATTGAACATAATTAAAGCATAGTGATTAATCACAAAAACAATATGTAATTATATATGTGTTTTCCGATGGTCTTAGGCGACCCCTGTGAAAGGGTCGTTCGATCCCCCCCAGTGAGAACCACTGCTTAAATACTTTTTTGTTTCATTTAGGTCATTACTAGAAACATCGTGCCTTCCTATTGGTTACTGCTTCCTCAAACACACACTTACTGTGCCCACCTCCCAGGGCATCTCATCACAGAACTGTTGACATTTTGAACCAAGTCTTTGTTGTGGAGCTCTGTCCTGTGCACTGTAGGGTGTTTAGCAGGATCCCTGGATTCAATCCACTGGATGCTAGCAGCCCCTAATTTATAACAATCAAAAATGTCTGAGGATATTTGACAAATGTGCCCGGGGGGGGGGGGGCAAAATTGTCCTTGGTTGAGAACTACGCTAAGGATGAGCATAGTCAACTGATTTTATTTTATTGTTTGAAATTTGTGGCCTGATTTTTGTAGACTATTCACAATTTAGTATTCTTTAACAGAGGCTATATCTTTATTTAAATCGAATAGTTTGGATATTCTCATAATTAATGCTTTATTTGAAAATGCCTTATTTCTGAAATTTTCCACCTTTTCATCCTGTAGGTGAATAAACCACTTTCTACCATAATTACATCTTTTTTTACCTTATTTATACCTTTTGGGTCCAAAACTTGCCTTTGACATTGCTTCATCCCTTCTTAATACTTATGTACATTAACGAATGCCTGCAATGGGCATGGCAATGGGCCAGGGACACAAAGACTGAAAGGACAGAGCCTCTACCCTAGTTTAGTAGTGGACAGACATCGGTATGTGTGTTCAGTTGCTTTGAGGGCATGTTGAAGGGCCATGAAACCCAGATTTTCACTGGGGAGAGGGATAGGAAAAATTTCTTAAAGATTCTGGGTGTCTTATATGCATCTTTAACATCATACATAGTCCTTATACTAAGTAGAGCCACTCCTACTTATATTTCCAGTCACACCTGTTAGCATAAGGTGGTCTAGCCAACTTGAAAGATGTTTGTTTTAAGTAGATATTTTATAGTAGTATCTTCTCTCTGTAAAGATCAAGCAAAAATCTGTCACATCACTTTATAGTCACATCTTATAACTTTTAAAGTCATGATGACCAAGGAATTTGATTTTAAAAACAGGAATTTTTCTATAAAAGTTGAGTATTCATTTACAGACATTTTTTCCCCCCCAAAGGGCTCTTTTCCAAGAAGTGGATTTTCATTCAAAGTTTTTTATCCTTCCAACAAGACAGTAGAAGATAGGTAAGTGTGCCCACAGAAACTGGCAGAAGAAGCTGTTTCTTAGTGCTATATTGCTAATCATCAAACGTTCTATAGGTGTGTTGAGGTTTTTAAAAATGTCTGTAGTGACCCATTGGAAATGTTCTAGGCTGAAGTTATTGTGGTCAGGCTGTGTGACATAGAATATTATGTATTTGATGGCAAGCTTGTGATGAAATAGATCAAGCATTGTTTTCTCAGGGAAATCTTGGACCAGCTATGGAGGTGGGCTAGTTTTCTCACAGTCTGACTTCTAATCATGTTCATATTATTCTGAGAGCACAGCCCTGCCCTCCACATGGTTGAGTCTCAAAACCTAGGTAATCTGTCTTAAATTGGCAGCAAAGCATTTGGAAGGAGCTGGGTGCAAGTGTGGTGATGGGCAGGGGTTGGAGTTGGGGGAAGGTCTTTTTTTTAAATTTATTTTTATTGATTTCAGAGAGAGAGGGGGAGAGATTGAAACACCAATGAGAGAGAATCATTGATTGGCTGCCTTTTGCATGCCCCTCACTGGGGATCGAACCCGCAACCCAGGCATATGCCCTTGACCAGAATCGAACCCAGGACCACCCCCACCCCCACCACCACCTCCACCCCCGTTCCGCAGGCTGATGCTCTATCCACTGAGCCAAACCGGCTAGGGCTGGGGGAAGGTCTTGAGGTAAAAAAGAATAATCACCTGGTGGGTAGTGGTTTTCCAAGGGCAATCTATAGATCACCTACATCAGAGTCCTTGAGGATCCTTGTTAAAAATATGTTGCCCTAGCTGGTTTGGGTTAGTGGATAGAGCATCGGCCTGTGGATTGAAGAGTCTTGGGTTCGATTCTGGTCAAGGGCACATGCCTGGGTTGCAGGCTCAGTCCCCAGTAGATGGCATGCAGGAGGCAGTCAATCAATGATTCTCTCTCATTGATGTTTTCATCTTTTTCTCCTTCTCTCTTCCTCTCTGAAATCAATAAAAACATATTTAAAAGAAAAAAAAAGTTCTGGGATCCCATCCCACATTTAGCAAATGGCTTGCTCTATAGTTATAGGACTCATAAATATGCATTTTGATGCTGTGTCCATTGTCAGGCATCCTAACATATAATGTCAGTTAATCAAACATATTTTGAAAAAACTCCACTTCCTGTTAAGAGCAAATAACCAGCCCTGCCTAGAGGTTTGACTGCTGATCAGGGCACATACCTAGGTTGCAGGTTTGATCACCCACTGGTTGGGGTGTGTACAGGGAGGCAGCCAATAGATGATTTTCTCTCTCCTTTCTTTCTTCTTCCTTTCATTCTAAGATCAATGAGAAACATATTCTCAGGTGAGGATTAAAAAATATAAAGGAACAAATAACCAAATAACTGTCCTCTAGTTTCTTGTTAGAGAATATAATTTTGAACACACAGCTCAATTGTAATTTTTGCAATTAATATATTCAAATTAAAATCAATACAATCTCATGATAAAAATTTAAGCAATGCTTAAAAGTATAAAACTGCAAAGAAAAATATCTCTGTAATACCTCTGCTTTCTAACCCTGAACCCATGATTAACAGTCCTTGTATATGTTTCTTAAAAAAAAATTTGTGCATTATTCTTTCTGCCCAATACTTATGGATGATTGAAGTCCATTCAGTTTATGAGATATTATAAGTTTTATTCTTGGATTCATTAATTTGACATATATATGACTAGAGGCTCAGTACACGAAATTCATGCACTTGTAGGGTCCCTAGCGGCTGCTGGCCGGGGCCTCCCTCCCTTCCCCCGGCCGCCTGCCAGCGCCAGGGCCTCCCTGGCCAGCCCGCCCCCTGGTCCAACTCCCAGAAGAACTCCAGTCGAGGGGACAATTTGCATACCACGCTTTTATTATATAGGATTCTTAACATATTCCAAGCATTGCTTAGTTTTTGGAATATAACCAGATACTTGAATAAAGGTTTTTAATCCATAAGCCTGACATGTGTTAGACTTTACCTAGTCCACATTGAATCCTAGCTGGTTTGGTTCAGTGGATAGAGTGTTGCCTGGGAACCAAAGGGTTCTGGGTTCGATTCTGGTCAAGGGCACATACCTCAGTTGCAGGCTTCTCCCTGGCCTGAGCCCTGGTTGGAGCATGTGCAGGAGGCAACTAATTGATATGTTTCTCTTACATCAATATTTCTGTCTTTCCTCTCCTCTCTCTTCCACTCTCTCTGAAAGCCAATAGAAAAATATTGAGTGAGGATTTAAAAACATTTTTTTTAAAGAATTGATAAGGTTGCTTTTAGGTAAGGGAACCAATCTTCTGAAGTCTCACCACTCTCTGTTGTCAACACCTGGATGCCCCCGAGGGCATCTGATTTTGTGACCTCAGGATTAAGTCACCTCTGAGGGTTGTCTCCCTGGTTCGTATTTTGTCCACCTTCCTATTGACTTTTACTGAATTGAGATTTGGTATAAAACTTATCCTCCTATGAGAACTAGTCCTGGGAACTTTAAACAGGTCTCAGAACAAGAGAATCTGTCTGTCCCAAGCAAAAGTTGGGTGTAGCCCTGGCTTCATCTTTTCTGACCTGTATTTTCGCCTTACCTGAGTTTCCTCATTTTCTTTTATCTTTTTACTAGAGGCCTGATGCACAAAATTTGTGCAAGGGCTTGGCTCTTGCATTTAAGGCTTCGTCCGGAAGGTTATCCAGTCAAATTAGCATATTACGCTTTTATTATTATAGATTACATCTATCTACAAACCATTTACTGTGTTTTAATGAGTTGGGATATAAGCAAATAACCCACAATGGGAGATTAACTGATTTTTTATGATAGCACAAGAAACTTCAGTTATGTTTCTTGTAATGTTCCCCGATTGCCATGTAGAATTGTTTTGTGTTCTAAGCTCTTCGTACAAATTTCTGTGGTACTTCTTAACAGTGTAGTATAAGTCACTTATGTGCCTGTCCCTCTTTAAAATTTCTAGCATAGTAGTACTTGACTTGCATTTTGTTGAGATAAAATAGTTGGTTCCTTTATCTTCTGTGGACTCAGATGCTGAAAACCTTGGCATAATATCTAAACTGTAATTAGTATAAATAATTTGAGGAATCTTTTAGTGCTGGATCAAACAAATAGACGCATGTTTACTTTTGAGAGAATGAAAAAATTTTCAAGATATAGTGGAATAATTTGGTCTTCCTGCTATTTAGCTTCTCCTCAGAATAAATCTTTTGTTAGAATATTTGTGAAATCATATTGTAGAGTTAGCATCAAAATGTAGTGAAAGTAGATAAGCTTAACTGTTTCAATGAGTACTATCAAATATAGTTTACTTTAAAACACAGTATTGGTGATGTGAATACTCTCACACTTGATCAGAATAAAAAATAGTAAAAACTTTTATGGAGGGCAATCTGACAAGATTTCTTAAGACCTAACCTGCATATACCAGCAATTCCATTTCTAGGAATTTGTCCTACAGATTATACTTGGGCATATGCATAAAAAAAGGTACAACTGTTTCTTATGTAGTTTTTAGACTACCAAACAAACATTTAAATACATACCCATTTAAATGTATATGCTTATTTAGAAGTTTCCTAACTTAGATTTTAAAGCATTAAAGGGATTAGTTTCAAAAATTATAAATATATTTATTACTAATTGAAAAAAGTATACTGTTCATAGTATTCTACCACTTATATGTGTTTTTATAGCACATACCCCCCCATGCATATAAATGTTTAGATGATATTTTAAGGATATATTGTATAAGGCTATATAATTGCTTCTGGGAGCAGAAATAGTGTGAGAGACTGACATATTTTTCCAGCACCTTTTCAATTTGGAACAATATGAATGTTTTTTAATTTAATTAACAAAACCTAAATATTAAGACATGTACAATAACTAGATTTCTAAAATGTTTCATTTTATGAATATTTTCTACTTTCAGCAAACTTCAAGGTTTTTGAGATTCTTGAATACCATCGAAGAAACAAAACTCCATTTTCTGCTTAATTTTATATTTCATGTAACTTTGATATTAGGTTACAATAAAATTATAGTAAACTTTAGAATGTTGTTTAAATTTATATTTTATGAGATTTTGATATTGTTATAATAAACATGATGGTATACTTTACAGGTTTTATAGGAAAAATATTTTCTAATCGTTTAAGAAAAATATGAAAATATGTATAAAGATGTAATCTAGTTATACATTTGCACCTAAAAACTGACCTTTTATTATTTCTATACTGGTTATATGCTAATGTTCATTTTAAGAAAAACAGATATTTAAACATTTTTGAATCATTATTTTAGTTTAACTTAGGTTTTTATCACCATAAGAGTTCTTAGAGTATGTCTGACAATTTTGAAACTATTTAAATTTCAAGTCACAGAATTTATTCTAATGACTAGAGGCCCAGTGCACGAAAATTCATTCACTGGGGGGTGTCCCTCAGCCCGGCCTGCCCCCTCTCACAGTCCAGGAGCCCTCAGGGGATGTCCTCCTCTGTGGGAGGTGACCAGGTCGATCAGGGGAAGGCACCACCCCATCACTCCGCTGCTGCTGCCACTGCCGGCTGCCGCAGCTGCTGGCCCTCAGCCCTCGCTTCTTAGCACTGGCCCCGTCCCCCACCCACTGGTGGGTGGGGGGCGATCTGGGGCCAGGCTGTCTGGGGGATGGGCTGTGGGAGGTTGAGGCACAGCAGGTTGCACCGCATCCAGCCTCTGCAGAGGTGTGGCGCCGGGACCGGGCTCGCTCCGCTGCCTCTGTGGCTGCCTCTGCAGAAGGGGCGGCACTGGGACTGGGACCGTGCAGCCCCCTCTCCCACGCCTCCTCTGCAGACTGGGCCACAGCGCCGGCCTTCTTGCGCGGCACAGGCCTTCTCCCTTCTTGCTCAGCCCTCCTCCCTTCTCCTGCGTCACCACCTTCTCCCGCGGCCTCTGCAAAAGGGACCGTGGTGCCGGACAGGCCCGTGCCACAGCCTCTCCTGTGTTGCTGGCCCTTGGCCCTTGTGGCTCTGTGGCTTTGTCTGGAAGGACGTCCAGAAGGACGTCTGGTCTAATTAGCATATTACCCTTTTATTAGTATGGATAGTTGAAAACCTTTGTTTCAGGATGTTACTGTGATATTCATTGCATAATTATCTTTTGGCACTGGAAATTTAAAAACACAGTTCCTTTAGTTTTTACATTTAGAAGACATGTTTACTTTGAAGCAGCATGTTTTGCCATATCAGCTGTAATCACTCAACACTATTCCCTTACTTTTAGTTTATGGTGTTACAACAATAGCCCAGAAATAAATCTGAATGACAGGAAGTAAGAGGACAATGAGTGTTTCAAATATAGAGTAACCTAAATATTATGAAGAGCCTGAAGATACTTTTCCTGGAAATGTGCTTTTTGGGGAAAAGATAGTGATAAAAAAAAACCAAAAATGACATTAAAGGGAAAATTCCTCAAGAAAATTTAATGTGAATGTGATAAGTGAATCATTAGTTAAGAATGAAGTGGTAATTTGAGATGTGGTTTGAGGATGGAAAAGTCAGGGAGAATGTCAGAAGAGGCCTGATATTAGAAAAATAAGATTTAACTTTAATTTCAAGTAGCCTAGAAAAATTGAAGTTAAAGTGAAATCAAGCCCTAGCCAGTTTTGCTCAGTGGATAGAGCATCAGCCCGTGGACTGAAAGGTCCCGGGTTTGATTCTGGTCAAGGGCAAGTACCTTGGTTGCAGGCTCTTCCCTGGCCTGGGCCCTGGTCAAGGAAAAATATCCTTGAGTGAGGGTTTTTTTTAAAAGGTGAAATCAAGGCATAAGTTCAAAAGTTACTAATTACTTGGGAAAAAATTATAATTTGGGCCTTGAAAGTGGTAGTGAAATAGATACAAGGTTGATGGTCCAGTTATGAGAACCACAGAGCTAAATATGAAAGATGATGGGTAGAAAGTTATAAGTGTAAACTGGGTACAAGGTGTCCCCTCATTAACTGATTCATTTGGCAGATAATTGCTTCCATATATAAAGATGAGCTATTTGAGACTTTTTCAGGAACACAGTTAATGGTAGAAAGATAGGGTGTATTTAGGAGTTAGCAATGTGAAACAAGATGAAGCATGAAGCAAAACAATTATTTAAGAGCAGAGAAGTTGCCAGAACCAGGTAGTAAGTATCGGAATAAGATAAGACAGGAACTAGAACCAGGTGGGGATCAGCATCACCCAGAAATGAAAAGGAAGCAGAGGTCTGGATGAAGGGGCAGTGGAGGAGCAGCTCTGAAAGGGTCTCCTGGGCTCCTGCTGCAGGCACAAACAGGTGTGTGCTCCCTCACTTGGTGTTTAATCAGCTGAAGCAGGCTGATCTCACTGCAGAAACCTGGGTATGAGAGGCATTTTCATGTGATGTTGTGCCTCAGAGCAGGGGCCAGGTAGATCACACAAGACAGATATGGGTGAGAAAAGCAACACTTGATCTCTGTGTGGGGAAACCACAGAGTGTGCCTGGAACTGTACAGACGAGCTCCCAGTTGCTTGTCATTAGGTGTCAGACCATCTACTCTGGATCTCTATCCCCAATAGAGTTGACATGCAGTATTTGTGGGGGGATAAAAGAAAGTAGGTTGGACTAAGGGGTTAATAACTGATAATGGCTTTAATACCCAGTCCATCTCCCATGAAAGGCATTCGTACTTTAATAAGGATAGCCTTTCCTTAAGGGATGAATTTTAGGCAAAAGATCATTTGTTTGGGGCAGTGGTCGGCAAACTGTGGCTCGGCAAACTGCGGCTCGCGAGCCACATGTGGCTCTTTGGCCCCTTGAGTGTGGCTCTCCCACAAAATACCAACTTCTGCGCATGGGCCACGAACTTCAATCGCACTGTACGTGCGCACCTGCACGTGGTATTTTGTGGAAGAGCCACACTCAAGGGGCCAAAGAGCCGCATGTGGCTTAAGAGCCGCAGTTTGCTGAACACAGGTTTGGGGCATAGGAGCTTCTCAACTCCATTTTTCCCAAAGAGCTGTTGGGAAAGGGACTGCCGCATAGTAAGAAATTTGGGAAGGTGGAGGGCATGGATCCTTAGAAAATCTAATGAAAACTAAGGTCCCTCAGAAAAATCAGCATGAGCCTACCCCCTTATAATTTCAGAGGGCTCAGGAATTCTGAAGGCCATTCTCATTCCCAAACAGGTGTGGTCTGTTGTCATGTGTTCATGTTTGGAAATATCATTAAGTTGAAATATGTCCAGTATTTTGAAGTTAACAAAGGTACCAAAATAAACTGAAACCAATCATTGGGTATGTTCACTGACATCAGGGTTATAACAGAAAATACATCCTCCAGCCCTAGCTGGTTTGGCTCAGTGGATAGAGCATCGGCCTGAAGACTAAAGGGTTCCGGATTCAATTCGGGTCAAGGGCACATGTCCAGGTTGCAGACTCAATCCCTAGTAGGGAGCGTGCAGGAGGCAGCCAATCAATGATTCTCTCTCATCAATGATGTTTCTCTTTCTTCTTCTCCCTTCCTCTCTGAAATCAATAAAAATACTTTTTTTTTAAAAAAAAGAAAATACATCCTCCACATGCTTTAAAGATCTAGAATTCATCTTTATGCTTCAAAACCATTTCAGATGTAAATCTAAGAACTAAATTGTAGGGTATTTTTTAAAAATCCATTTTTATTGACTTCAGAGAGGAAGGGAGAGGGAGAGAGACACATCAATGATGTATCATTGATCAGCTGCTTCTGCCCCACATGGTGGATTGAGCCCAAAACCCGGGCATGTACCCTGACAGGGAATCGAACCGCAACCTCCTGGTTCATAGGTTGATGCTCAACCACTGAGTCATGCGGGCTGGGCTTTATTTATTTATTTATTAAAAATATATAGTTTTATAGTTTTACTGATTTCAGAGAGGAGGGAAGAGGGAGAGAGAAACATCCATGATGAGGGTCATTGATCAGCCTCCTCCTGCATGCCCCCTACTGGGGATCGAGCCTGCAACCCGGGCATGTGCCCTTGACCAGAATTGAACCCGGGACCCTTCAGTCCGCAGGCCAACACTCTACCCACTGAGCCAAACCAGCTAGGGCTGGGCTTTAAACATTTTATTAAACAAGTTCATAATAGAAAAATTAGGAAATACAGATAATCATAAAGAAAAAAGTTCTAAAGACCTTCATTTCCACCATCAGAGATAATCTGTTAATATTCTGGTATAGATCCTTTCAGATTTTCTCTATGCATACATTTTTTCCTCTAAACATATTTTAGGGATGCCCATCTGGTGTAGCTCAGTGGCTGAGTGTCAACCTCTGAACCAGGGGGTCACGGTTCAATTCCTGTTCAGGGCACATGCGCAGGTTTCCAGCTCGATCCCCAGTGTGCGGCTTGCAGGAAACAGCCAATCAATGATTCTCTCCCATCATTGATGTTTCGATTTCTCCCTTCCTCTCTGAAATATATATTTTAAAAATACGTACTTTAGGGATCATACTATACACACTAAATTTGCCTTTTTTCTTGTTGTCAATCCTCACCCCAGGGTATTTTTTCCATTGCTTTTCAGAGAGAGTGGGAAGGAGAGGGGAGAGAAACATCGATGAGAGAGAGACACACTGATTGGTTGCCTCTCCCATGTATTCTGACTGGGGATGGAAACCTGCAACTCAGGTACGTCCCCTTGACTGAGTGAGAATAGAACCTGTGACCCTTCGGTGCATGGGCCAATACTATAACCACTGAGAAACACCGACCAGAGCTAAACTTGCCTTTTTCTTTACTATATTCATTCATCAAATACTTGAGTGATAATACAGGGGTGGGCAAAAGTAGGTTTACAGTTGTTCATATGGAAAAAGATATGCAAGTTATGATTATTACAGTAGCTTTACTAAAAAGAATATCACAATGGCACAGTGCACTTAGGTATAATCTTGCATGTGCTCAAATTGCTGACCTTCATTATGTACATATTCTTGAGTCTACTTGCTATACTCAAACATACTTTGGCACAGAGTTCTTTATAAACCTACTTATGCCCATCCCTGTATATTCTATATACTAAGG